AAGGTAAATATGATTTTGTATGAACAAACAATATATCTTTATTAAATTGTAATATACTGAGTACAAACCCTGCATTTAATTTGTTTTCTGTTATTTTTTAACAAACATGATACACCTTTGCAGTCATCAGCTGATTATCGTCAAATCACTTTTGAGTATACGATTGTACAATGAGATCTAGAACTGGAACATTTATAACAATTCAAATGAATAAAATACTTACACTTTTGGTACTGGTAATGATAGTTGCTGCAAATACCAGGGCCATTTTACATGTCACGGTCAATATTGATTGTACAACAAGTTTAACTCCGAGTAAATCCGAATAGACTCTTTCATGATAATATGCACGCATGCGCATAACGCTTCAGGGGTGGCAAAAGAGAAGAGTGGCAAAGATTCACGTGTACTTTGACATTAGCATGAATAAAAGTTTTGCAATAAATTATTAATTAAAATTTGGTAAATAAATTTAAATTTTCTTTTTAATGAGACTTTTTTTTCTTTTTATTCCCAATAATATGGCTGTGTATACGTAACTAATTTCCGGCAAAGCCTTGGTTACGGCAGTGTTTACATAGAGTAAGATGGCGATCCGGGAAAGTTTAAACAAGCTAAAAAAAATTCGTTACAGCACTTAGCAAAGGAGTTGGGATGATCTTTGAAAAAAAGACGATATTAGAAATAATCAACTCCATCCTAAATTTAAACATACCCATTCATTTCGATTGCAGCCCTCTAGATACCCCCCATTTTACCGAGGTACAGTATGTATACTCGATTCTCATAATATCGCGGGTTCCATTGTATCGCGGTATATTCCGAAAAATCATATACACAGCTCATATCATTTTTGTGGATAAATCTATCTGTCTGTCGTCTGAATGTAAATTTTTGTGATGATTATAAAGAATGGAACATGCATCAGGAAAGTTTTTATTCAAATAAAACATAATTTTTCCAGATTTCCATTCCCGTTTTTATTATATTTAGACCACTGAATTTATAATCTAGTAAAATGCATAATAAAGTTCATGTTTTGAAAGTCTTTAGTTTGTATGATTGTTAATTTTTTATGTAAAATTACATCGTAAAATTAAAAATAAGAATTGAAGTCCATGTCAACAACAAGGTGGCATGTTTCCCCATACCGCGATACTATGAGACTCTCCAATTTAGGAGGTAAAGAAGACTTCCTGTTTTAAAAATAGACTACATATTAAACGGTGCAAGCTTGGGAAATAATTTGATACTAAAAAGATAGGCCATAGTTTGGTTTATGAATATCATTTGATGAGAGTTTAAGTAAAAAATTGGAATTACACTTTTTATGCAAAAGTTTTTAAGTACCGCGATATAATGAGACACCAGTATACTACCCTTACACGCGGACGCTATACCCGATCTGCCATTCTCGACGATCGTCCACTTTATGGTCAATCGACAGGTACAAGGTCGGGCAGTTCACAATTGCATTTCATTTCATTCAAGGCATTTTTAATCCCTCAGCTGTACTCTAGAACGGAAGGTACATTATACAGTTATTGACTGGGTATGAGGGCAACATATGATTTGTTGGACCTGAAGGTGAAAATGTTGCCCGAGGCCGCAGGCCAAGGGCAACATTTTCATCTTCAGGTCCAACAAATCATATGTTGCCCGAATTCCAGTCTATAACTGTTTTGTTATACCCTTCACTGCTCACTTAAGATTGATCAATTTTATCAATACAAGCTATACTATCAATTATTTTATATGGAAAATTATGGTTTCTTCAGTAAACATCAAGCTGAGAAAGAACAAAATCAATTATAAATCTATTATATCACAAAAATTATTCACAAAACATACTCTTCCCTTCTACCTTACCTTGCTGTTAGCAGCAACTCTTAATAGCTCTTAACTTCGGCTATTTTCGCGTCGCCTATATTGAACGATGATTATTAATTGTGACGTAACAGACGAGTGACGTTGCGGTCTAACAATTCTTATGTAAGACCGGTCAATAGTGATATTGTTAGACCGATGTAATAAACATTTCTTTTGTAGGACTTTTTATTAGTAATAAATATATAGAAGGATATTTATAAGGGTATAACAATATTACTTATTGACCCAGAAAACAAATAATCCCAATTTTGGTATAGTTTGAAAATAATACACTGTATATAAATAAGAATTTTCTGTCCACCGTTTTAAAACAATACAGGAAGGGACAAATATTTTATTTCTGTTTGGTATTATTTATGCGTGGGTTTGAGAGGCTTAATGGTCTTGGAAATAAATAAGAAAGCTGTCAAACATATTTCATCGAAGAAAAAACTAAAAAAAAACTCTTGTCATCCTAAAAATTAATTGTTATATACAAAGCATGATCTGACTCGACAATTTGCCCCCCCCCCCCTTCCCTCTAGAATCATATACTTCTACTCCTACCAGTAAGTGGCCTCCGTCAATTTGTTGACTATTATGCCACCAGGTGTGCGCATGTTTTAAAAAATTGATTAAAAGAAAAAATGTAACAATTGTGACAGTCTATTTACAAGTGAATTTAAAAAAAAAAAAATTTTTTGGCTGGTGACCTATCGACGGAGGCGAGCCTTGAAGCAACATATATTTGGGAATTGAAATATTTGTCTTTTGGATCATACATTCACACTTTGCTTTTGAAAACAGCTCAGGTGGATTGAAAATGAATTTCAAACTCAAATTTCAATCCCATGTTTTCCCCACGTATGCGTTGATCCACTTACATGTAAATTAAAATTTTTCTTGTGGATTGAAATATTTCTACTGAAGCTATCTGATTAAATATAAGTGAAACAGTATATTTTAATTCCAAAATCTTGCATTCATTGATTTGACTACAATAAGATGCATACATTTTTTTAACAAATTAGAGTAAATATTAGAGTACACATGTATATAATAACGACTGATTTTGATGCATTTTCTATAACATATAAGAACAGTTTAAATACTAATTAGAAAAGAAATACATGTGTAGAAACATTTAAAAATACATAAACTCTATCTACAGATTTGTTTTCATTGAGTTAAAAATAGTAGGCATTTATTTAAATACAAAAGCTTTTAATTTTGACAATACATTTCATGTGACCTAACTAATACATTTGCATTTGATAACCATCTATTGTCCAAAAATAGGGCTTGCAAACTGCAAATCCGTGATTAAAAAAATAGATTCATTCTTGAATTCACTATTTTAAATGTATAGGTAAAGTTGTTATTTAAGGTTGGTTGGCGTTCACAAGGGTAAAATTCAATAAAACGCTACACATAAAATATATAAACAGCATATGCCCCCCTACATTTTTCATGTACCCAATATACCTTCAAATATACCTTCTAAGCATCTAACCAACATATACTCAGATACTGATACTCTCATTTCTATTTCATCAATGTGTGCTACAAAACTGACATTTTATTGAGTGACTTAGAATAAAATCTCTTTGTACATTTAATTTTCAATGAGTGGAACATCAAGATTTGTCAAGAAACTAGCAACTTGAAACATTTGATTTAACAAAGGTGCAAGTGAAAGTGGCATTACACCATCAAAAATATGAAAACATTTAATCCTACCTATACTTCTCTCGACATGAATGCGAACCTTTGCAATTTCTTGTGTGTACAGAATTTCATCAACTGAAAATTGTCCTTTAGTGTTGAATGGTGGAATGTTTAAAGTACAACCTCTTTCATGCAGTAAATCTCTAATTGTAAAACCTTTATCAGCCATTACATTGTCTCCTGGTTCTAATAAATCCAAAAACCCACTATCAATAACCATCTGCCTGTATGAAGTTCTTCCACCCCAAGCATTTGACACAAAAGAAATTACTCCAGCAGGCGAAATCCCTATCAAAAACTTCATTGTCGTATGATGTTTATAATTTGAAAATGTTAAATTCTGGTTAACTAAACTTGATGATTTCTGTATATATATTTCAGTACAGTCGAAAATTACTCTTAAATTTGGAAACTTTTTCAAGCATTCAGGCAAACAAGATGCAATTTTTTCTCTTGAGGGAAACTTATTCAGAGCACAGAGCTCTGCATGAAGAAGGCAAATCCATGTTGTAAAGATAGAAGAAAATCTTGAAGGTGAAATTCCGAATCGTTCAGCAATATCAGTTACTAGAAGTCCAACCTTCAGACGCATAAGAACAGCCAGCAACTGGTCAATGAGAGGGAGGGTGCTTCTATTTGGCCGCTGTCTTCCTGTCTCAGATGTACCTTCACCAACCCAGTAAGTCATGCACCTTGCCTTTGGAAGTAGGAAACTGCAAAAGAAAATTAGTGGTAATGTGAGCACTGAGCTCACTAAATGGTATCACCTGCTGCCACATGTATAAGAGGAATTCCAGATAAGAGAAGGGTACCCAAAAGCATAACATACAGACATCCCAATCATTATACACCCATACACTTTTCAAGTGTGGCGTATATTTAAATGTATACTCAATAATTTGCCCCCATGTGCAAAGATTTTTCTGTTCTAATCATAAGAAGATACCTTCACTTTGCAAAATTTTTAAAAACTCTTTTTCTATAACAATTTACTTTATACTGTAGATCACTAAATTTTCTCGACACTTTATTTTAATCATTGACTGTTTATTAGCGAGACATAATTTTCACGAATTGTTGTTTTTCCTCTATGTAATCATAAGGAATAATTTTAAACGCGAGAAAGAAATTTTTCGCGAGCTCACTGTCTCGCATAATTTCGAGAAATTCTCACACAATTATTGAAAACATCAAAGGAAACCGCCGGACATTATTCTCCAATAAATCACGAACGTCATCAAAAAATTATCAGATCAGAAACACGTATCAAATTAAAACAATTCAAATGCATGTTTGGCTGTGGAATGAAATACTTGTTTAGACCGCATCGATGTGTCGTCTTTGTAAGAAATAAACACTGTAAATTTCATAAAGTTGCTGATGAAGTCGGTTTTTATAGCTAAGCGGGGCTATTCCACGGACCTCCTTACACATTAAACAACGTGATTTTAGCAGTAAAACAGGAACATGATTTTGTTATTGTATATTCGTTTTAACTGATCAATACATATAACGAACAAATTTGTAATTTAAAAAAGGCTATTTTTAATGTAACGAAAGCTAAGATCGTCTGCATTCCATACACAGGTAAGCAAACAAATTTTACCTCTGGTGTTAAATGGAACAGCATAATCGAGACATGGTGACCTAATTCATTTCTCTATAGAAGAAACGATCAGTCGTATTTATCGGTCTTGGTAGAATAGAAATAAAGTCCTTGTTGTCGTGAATGATGCAGAATAAACTCCTCGGTCTCGAAATGTTGTTTGAAAGATAAAAGCCTCGGCTTTTATCTTTCAAACAACATTTCTTGACCTTGAAGGTTATACTGCAACATTCACGAAAACGCGGACTTTATTTCTTAAATACAGTCTCGCGAATAAAATGTGATTTACAGTATTACATGCCTTTGTATCAAATATAGAATGCCCATTTAAGAATATATTAATAAAAAAAATACTCTACTTGTACAGCCAGAGGAAAACAGCAAAGCTGGGCAATCCGGAGTAGAATCTTGTTGCAACATCATCATCTTTGATTTTGTTCACACCCCATTGCAGTTTGTGCAGCTTTTCCTTCAAAAGCATGTTTTCCTCCTTCAACAAAGTATTTTCTTCAAGAAGAGGATCTGGGTCACACTGTGAACCTAAATGTATATATTGATTAGTACAATGCAATTGGTCTCCACCACATTAAAACATATAGATTTTGTATACATGTGTGTAAGAAAGAATATTGATTTCATTAATTAAAGTTACCAGCAACATAAATGTCATCATCTAAAATCATTATCAATATAAGAATTCAAAATATGATATTTACATTGAATCCACATGAACTTTGCTTAAACAGTAAAACTTGTTTAGTACAAGCAAATTCAAAGAATTGTGGTCCCCCGCTTTCAGTATCTTTGTGGGCAAGATATCATTTTTAGGGTCAAGGTCAATAGGTAAAAGTTTTTGGTATCCCATGAAAGGTCTTGCCATAAAGAATACATATATTTAAAATATGAAAGTCCTAGTTTCTACCGTTCAAAAGTTGTGACCAAGGTTAACGTTTTTAAAAAGTAGTTAAAACTCCAAGGTCAAGGTCAAAGGGTCAAAGTTCTTGACATGCAATGAAAGGTCTTCTCACAAGGACTACATACATGAAGTACGAAAGCCCTAGCCCTTACCGTTTAAAAGTTATGGTCAAGGTTAAAGTTTTTTTTAGAAGTACGTAAATCTCCAAGGTCAAGGTCCAAAGGTCAAAGTTGTTGGTATCCAATGAAAGGTGTTGCCTCAAAGAATACATGTGTGAAATATAAAAGTCCTTGTATCTACCGTTCAAAAGTTGTGACCAAGGTTATAATTTTTAAAAAGTAGTTAAAAGTCCAAGGTCAAGGTCAAAAGATCAAAGTTCTTGGTATCCAATGAAAGGTCTTCTTACAAGAATAAAATATGTGAAGTATAAAAGCCGTAGCCCTTACCGTTCAAAAATTATGGTCAAAGATATAGTTTTTTCAGAAGTAAGTAAATTTCCAAGGTCAAGGTCAAAAGGTCAAAGTTGTTGGTATTCATTGAAAGGTCTTGTCACAAAGAATAAATATGTGAAATATGAAAGTCCTAGTACCTACCATTCAACAGTTATGGCCAAAGTAAAAATTTGGAATTTTTTAGTAAAAGTAGTTGAAACTCCAAGGTCAAGGTCAAAAGGTCAAATTTGGTGGTACCCAAAGAAAGGTCTTATCACAAGGAATACACATATGAAATATGAAAATTATAGCTCCACTAAATCAAAAGTTATGGGCAAGGTTAAAGTTTTTGTGACGGACGGACAGGCTGACGGACGGACAGACGGACAGACGAATGAGATTTAATGTCCCCTCGCTTCCATGAAAGCGGGGGACGATAAACACAGATATATTGAGAATTCATGGATATAACAAAGTTATCTTGGATCCCCAGCTATTTAAATTTAACAAATTCCTTTACGGATATACCAAATTGCGGATATAGCGAACATCACAAATGTTAAATGCAGGGCAAATGTAAATGTCAGACATGAAATCAAAAATCACACATTGAAAAAGTTGGCAATTGCTATAAGTCTTCCGTTAATTGTAACTTACAGGGCTTAACTTAGCCAAAGGATAATACAGGCATTTAGAAGTAAATAAAATATCCAATTTAAATGATTTGCAGACAAGGCAAGGAGTTAAAGGGTATGCAAATATACATGATATAAGCACCGCAATATTATATTTTGAATGACATCTCATAATGGCAACAGTGTGTGCAAATAAGTAATTTTCATAACACGCTGAAGCACGTTACTCAATATCGCTGCAGTTGCAAGACTTCTTTTTAAAAAAAAACAAGAGGCCCAGGGGCCACATCGCTCACCTGAGCAATTTGCTAAGAGAAAGCACATATCAGATCAGAACTGAAAGTTTACTAAGTTGGGGGGGGGGGGGGTCTTGAATTTTAACCCCCCAGGGGGTCATGGCTGGAACAAACTAGAATCTACACTACCTGAGGATGATTCCATATAAATATCACTAAACATGAACTTGGTCTACTTGAAAAGAAGATTTTAAAAGGTTTCCCTATATATTCCAATGTAAACATTTGATCGACCATTTTGGTCCCACCCTTGCCCCAGGGGTCATGATTTGAACAAACTTGAAACAACACTACCTGAGGATAATTTCATACGAGTTTCATCTTTCCTGGCCCAGTGGTTCTTGAGAAGAAGATTTTTAAAGAATTTTCCTATATATTCCTATGTAAAACTTTGATCAGCCATTTTGGCCCCGCCCTACCCCCGGGGGTCATGATTTTAACAAACTTGAATCTACACTACCTGAGGATGATTCCACATGAGTTTCATCTTTCCTGGCCCAGTGGTTATTAAGAAGAAGATTTTTAAAAGAATTTTCCTATATATTCCTATGTAAAACTTTGATCGGCCATTTTGGCCCCGCCCTTCCCCCGGGGGTCATGATTTTAACAAACTTGAATCTACACTACCTGAGGATGATTCCACATGAGTTTCATCTTTCCTGGCCCAGTGGTTTAATTAAGAAGAAAATTTTTTAAAGAATTTTCCTATATATTACTATGTTAGACTTTGATCGGCCATTTTGGCCCCGCCCTACCCCCGGGGGTCATGATTTGAACAAACTTGAATTTACACTACCTGAGGATGATTCCAAACAAGTTTCATCTTTCCCCCAGTGGTTCTTGAGAAGAAGATTTTTTAAAAATGCCATTAATTTTTCTCTAATTCATAATTATCTCCCCTTGGAAAAGGGCGTGGCCCTTCATTTGAACAAACTTGAATCCCCTTCACCCAAGGATACTTTGTAGCAAGTTTGGTTGAAATTGGCCCAGTGGTTCTTGAGAAGAAGAAGAAAATGTGAAAAGTTTACAACGACGACAACGACAACAACGACGACAACGACGCCAACAGACAACGGACAAATTTTGATCAGAAAAGCTCACTTGAGCCTTTGGCTCAGGTGAGCTAAAAATGTGTGCTGAATTCAAAGTGAACACTTTTGGGGGAAAAAAAAACAATCAAACCTTCATCAGCTGTTATGACTACACCAATGTCAATGTCATCCTCGTCAGGATATACATTGACATTGTACAGTTTTCCTGGGGATGTCTGCAGCTCTTCAGGGAAACTATAGCTGTGCATTCTTACGGATGCTTCTAACCTGCATCTCTCCAAATGTTCTTGCTTTACAGCTGCTTCCTCAAAAGTCTACAGGAAAAAAAATTACAACTTACAATAATATTACAAATAAATATTAACTTTATTTTGTATATAAAAAAGTGGTAAACCTGATGTTCAGTCTTTTTTCCATTAAGATTCTTTTTGACATGTGTATTGGCCTACATACAAATTCAATGCACATTTCGACAAACAAAAACTTTTCATGCTTATAGTACAATAACTGTATAATATAAAGATGCTGTTATATACTACACAGAAATATGACTAGTACTTCTTTCCATCAAAATTAACCAGTAAATTTAACCTAGATGGATAGATCTTACTTTATGGCACTACTTGAATCCAGGTTCCCCATATCAATGACCAGCATACTTCAACCAGCAAAGATGGGGTAGTTTGTGAAACTTTTCAAAACAAATAGCAACTGCATACTGAATATTTCAATAATTAAACAGCTTGTCAGTTGCACTATTGTTAAGAGGACAGTCTCAATTAATCAAATCACTAGTCTAAAATGAATGAGAAACTGTACCAAAGAGTCTTTTCACCAGGAAAATCTGCATCACCAGAAAATGACATATTAATAATCTAATGCATTCAAATATAACATGACTTGTGCATATTTAAATGCTAATTAATCGTAAATTCTTAATCAACTAAAATATAAATTGGTACAATACGACGTGTTAAGCGTGGAATATTGGGACCAGCTCAAATCACGCTAAATGTCAAGTCAAATTAATGGGCGTAAAAACACGACAGAGGAATCTCGGGTTGACGTTAATTATAAACCAATGTTGATGTAAATATTCGTACTTTATAATACAAAGAAGCATACCTTAGTCAGGTTTCTTCTATATGCTCTTGAAAATCGTTCACTGTTCTCTTCGGGTGTACATTTGTAGGAAAATAGAGTCGGTCTGTAGTTGGGGTCGTCACGGTCGTCCGAGTGCCAACCCGTCTCAAAATGCTCACTACATATCCTACTGTTTTTGTTTGGTAACCATCCCTTCCTATTAACAGCATTAACCCATGCTCGCCTTTTTGTTTTACTTACGGGAAACTTAAAGAAAGAAACCTTGCAACCCTTCGTGGCTCTATTGGTACACCCAACGACACAACAACTTTTCACCATGATAAGATTTTCTTTTTGCCACCCCAGGGTTCCTAAGCGCATGCGCGATATTCAGTCCCGCAGTTAAGCAAAAAGGGCTTATTGACACTGTTTATAACTATAAGCGGTGTAATGTTAGTCTGTACCATCGGTGTCGATTTATTTCGCTGCTGAGGTCAATAATCCACACTTTCACATCCAATGTTCAGAATTATATCTTAAATGAATTTTGTTTTAAAATATTTTTTTCAACATTTTGAGTGAATATGTTTACATTATTAACGATATAATTCAGGAATCTTATTAGACACCCTTGTGCTCGTCGATCTTCCAACACGTTTTACACATAACTTTAGTAGGATCTTGGTTAGAACATACTGGGCTTTAAACTTTAAGCTACTGATTTATACATTTCAGATATATGTAGCAATAAATAACCAAAATGAAAATAATAAATAATTTTATTTGAATTGATTTCTTCGTCCGCAACAATAATAACGCACACTGATCATAGCGCACATGGAGCATAAAACAGCCCAGATAGCAAGCTTACGTTGGGCCAATGTCAGCCCAACGGTGAAAATTACGTTGGCCCTCTGTCATTTTTATTTGTTGGCCCAACATCATCTTGCTCATCGGCCCTCCGTTCGACCAACAAGTTGGCTCGACGTTGGGCCAACATTTGAAGGTTGGTAATCTGACATTGGTCCAACAGTGGCCCAACGTATAACTTCTTGTTGGCCCAATGTTGGTTCAATGTTATTTATGTTGGACAAACGTTGGCCGTATTTGGCAAATTATTTACGATTCACTTATTTTTTAATCAGTTACACAATATGATTTCCAGTTCTGTGACATTTTTTATTTCCATATTAACGAGTAAATCACAATTAATTTATTAAATCCTGCATGGATAAGTAACTAGTTCTTCAAATAAATGTTGTTTTTGTCACTCCTTTATAATGAAACCAATACATGTAACAGGAAGGTGGTTCAAAGTCTATCCAATATATCACTACATTTACAACCACTCTTAAATGGGATCCGGTGTTCAAATATGTGCAACTTTGGAATCATTCACTCCATTTTTTTCCCTTGTTTATGTTATTGTTTCTTTGTCTATAAAATCCATGTCCTTCACACAGTTAAATCACTCACTTCATGTCCAGTAAATTCCATACATCAATGGTCTTGTAACAGAAAGGGTTTTCTCTCCACCAGTTGCTATAAACGATACAAAATTATATATTAGTTTAATCAATTCAAAAATGATTTCTCTTAGTACTCAGATAAGTATTAATTAACTAGATTACTAATAAACTATATGAAAACTTTGGAAAGTGTAACTTTTGTAAAACTTGTTCAATGTTAAAAATTATGCCCAAGTTAATTCTTTCAAAAACATAAACTTCCATCAATAACACATAAAACATCTGTACTTACATTTCAAGAGCTAAACAATCCGTTTTCTCTTTCTTGCGTTTCAAAGCAGACAAGTACACCTATATGCTTTGTTCAAATGTTGCAAGTGATAAATTGTGACCACTCCGAATTTACCAAACAGAACTAATTAGGATGCCCGTTTCCCAGGAAACCGGCTAGTCACCCGCTGTGCAAGTGGATTTCAACACTGACCTAATTATCTGAAGCTCTAAAATTCAGCACTTAAAGTTTCATGGTGCTAAATATAGAATCTCCAAAATATTATTATGTGCAGAATAAAACTTCTACATAATATAATATATTTGCAATGGTCTTGAATAATAATAACATATAAGAATCATCAAAAGTACATCATATGATTTTCATAAATAAGCTTTTGGAATAATATTTCGTTTTTTAAATTGATAATCAATGCATGAGTTATTAAGATTAATTCAACCTTACATAACTTTTTAATTAAATTGAGCTGTCTCTATTTAAAGAAGCTTAAAATTGGTGGTTCTGAAATATACAAATTTAAAAAAAATGTGCGTAATGAACATATCACCTACATGTACCTATTTTTTCCCCCTATTTTCACATTGTTGGACCAACGCTGGGCCAGCGTTCAAAGCCCAATCAATGCTTGATTATAATCAAAATTTACTTCATTTTGCCAACATTGGACAGATGATTACATGCCAAACACACATTGGCCATGTTTCATGTCGCCATTACTTGGTTGATGCTATGTTCGGCCAACATTATGGATCTCCAGTCGCAATGGTTTTAATTTATGCCAATATCTACTCGGTCGGACCTACGCTGGGCCAACGTCGAATTTCCAACATACAGTGGCCACTTTTCATGCCAACATTAAGTACACTGGGCCAACATTGGACCGATAATTACATGCCCAACACACATTGGCCATGTTTCATGTCAACATTACTTGGTTGGCCCTAAGATGGGCCAACATTATACATCCCAACACGCAATGATCTTAATTTATGCCAACGTCTACTCGGTCGGACCTACGGTGGGCAACATCGAATTCCCAATATATAGTGGCCACATTTCATGCCAACATTTATTACAATGGGCCAACATTGGCCCAGCATCACATAATCAGCACCGACGGACCGGCTTTCATGCCAACATATCATTTGTTGGGCCAATGTTGGACCAACATTAACAGCCCAAAACCAACACTATACCAACCTACCAACCATCAACCAACGTTGGCCCGATATAGTCTTGCTATCTGGGAGAATGTTAACGTTTTTGAAAAGTCAATTTTTAGAGATTAACAACATCAAAATTAACGACGTCTTACAAGAAAACTAAGAAAGATATTTTAAAAAGGAAACCATTTCAAGAAAGCACAAATCCAAGGGAATATATTTATGGCAAAATTAGAGAGAAATGCTGCTAGGCAACTTCTCATGGTTCGTGGGTCGAGCTCTTTGTTTAAGAAGAGGTGTAAAAATCGAATTTCACCTAAGCAAACTCAAGCAAGGGACTCATATAATTTCCTTTTGAATGTTTGCATGGTTCATGTAGAGTTTCATCTGAAAAATTATAATATTTTTTTTAAAGAAAAAAATACACGTAAGATTATTATTTATGAATTACTCACTCCTATTCAAATGAAAGGAACTAATTCCCTTTCTAAGACACCATTATTCTAAGTTCAGATTTTTACTCAGGTAAAGTTTGCGGAAACGTTCTCAAAAAAGATGGATCAGGGATGTAAATACGAGATTTTTGGAGGTATTCTTATAATGAATTGTAATGAAGGATATGGAGATAACGAACAGTATTCAATATTTTAGTGTCTTTAGTACTTTCTAGTTTTTAATTCATTGTGTGGTTCTACACGCAGTCTTTTAGTTCTCTATGAGTTATTGCAAATACTAGTACTTAAATCATTATATACACTGTAGTTGCTCTGTTTGTGTCTCTGACCGGTTGGCAGGGGATGTTCACTCCACCATGGCACCTGATCCCACCTCTGATATATTCTGGAGGTCAGTGTTTGCGCTGCTCCTCTTTTGTATTGTTTTATGGACTACTGCTCTCGAATATTGTCAAGGGGTCAAAGGGGATAGAAAAAAATAAAAGTTGTAGCTTTAATTTTGATTGCTTTCTCTGTGGCATAAACAAAAATGTGATAAATTAAACAATCGTGAGCAAGGCTAATGTAAACCTTTGCACACATAAGAGGTATGATTAGGTGCAATTAAGGATAAATCCTCCCTTTCATTAAAGCTGCTTTTCTCGAAAAAAATTTAAATAAGGCAGATTCAGCAAAAATGATACATTACTTACTTTATTTCCCTTGACGCTAACAATATTCACAATCTTAAAAGCAATAAAAAGTAATATTCCTCAAAGTAGGACCCCCCCCCCCCGGGAAATCTTGCTTTAGATTGATACCAGGAAGGGAGGGGGTATTGGTCTCTAAGCAGACTTTCCTTTGTGTAGAAATCCTGTTCTAAAACCGTTTTCCTCTTTTATTAGCAACTAGAAAAGATTTTATATCTCCAATTTCAATACTAATATATAAAATTATTGATTTCGATGAAAGACGTTGCCATGGTTAATATAAATAGAAATTTCTTTGAAATACCTTCAAAACGCTA